GGCCGAAAAAGCCCAAGTACAAGCCGCTGCCGGGCCCCAAAGGTCAGTATTCATCGTCTGAAGAAAAGGTGCTTGCTGACAGTGCTATAAAGGTCTACCATGGGTCGGGCCTTTCCACAAGTTCCCTTCCAAGGATGTGTACAAGAAGTTTGCTGAATGGGTACGGTCACTATCTAGGCTTCTGACGATGTAATTAACTCGGTACAGCACGAAGAATATGGTCCAATCTACCAGTTCACTCTCTTCGGTGTCAAACACATCCGTGTCAACAGCGAGAAGGTGTGCCAGGATCTTCTCGCAAGGCGTGGAGCATACTATTCCAACCGCGCGCCCACACCCAACATCCCAGGCGCCAAAACCGACGCGGAGTATCTCCCTCTTTTGGACAACAATGGTGAGTATTACTTGAATCATTTTCGAATGTCGCTGATCGATCACGCAGCGGCACTTACAAGACACCGTAAATTCGCTCACCAATGCCTGTCCGAGACCTACAATTACGACATGTTCGGCTTCACGCACCTCGAGATCACGCGGATGATGGTTTCGCTGATGAAGGACAACCGAAACTATCCCGATCTCGCTGAAGAGTTCACCCATCGTGTGAGCGCGCGCCTCGCCTGGGAAGACCCCAAGCTAAGTCGTGGGTTGAACCGAAGCTCGGCTGGTCTACTTGCTGCCATCTCTCCGGCAGGGAAGCTACCGAACAGGTTTCCAGTCGTGCAGAAGTTGCCTGACTTGATCAACCCTTGGTATTGGCAGGAAAAGGCGCGCCATGATGCTCAAAGGGAATTCTGGGTCGGGGCCATGCAATCCGTCAAAGCCAAGATGGACGCTGGTATCCCCGGTCATTCCTGGTCTCGCACGTTCTTCAAGGACAAGGAGCGCTTGAAGTTCCCCGATGGCTCCCCAGACGAGAAGGAGGGTGCTTTCGCGATAGGCATGCTTGCTATCACAGCATCACTACCCATGTCTTCGCCCATCCAGACCTACTACCTCGCTATGTGCCACTACCCCCATTGGCAGAAGCGACTACAAGACGAGATCGATGAGGTTTGCGGCCCCGACCGTCTACCCACATGGGCCGACGCACCGAAGCTTCCGGTACTGAGAGCGATCGGCAAAGAGCTGATCCGCTGGAGACCGCCAGTCCCTACGGGCGTTCCCCACGAAGCTGAGAGAGATGATGAATACGATGGCTACTTCATCCCGAAGGGTGCGCTCATCCATGCTACCGAGTGGGCGCGTCGGAGTGACGAATCTTTGTACCCCAACCCGGAAGAGTTCAATCCAGATCGCTATCTGAACCCGAGATATCCCACTTACAAGGAGCCTCTGACGAAGTACCCCAACGTCATCAACCACCACGTCTTTGGTTATGGTCGTCGCAATTGCTTGGGTATGGAGATTGTAGACTACCAGCTGGTCACAATCATGGGTTCTTTGGCCTGGGCATTCAATGTCACCAAGAAGAAGAACAAAATTGGCATTGGTACGTATCCCACTTTTTGGCGCCTCGTTCTTATGCTGACATAACAACAGATATACCAATTCACACAGAAGATTGGACAGACTTGCTCATTACTCGGCCGGAGGTGTTCGTCTTCGACATCAAACCAAGAGATGCGCATAAAGAGAAGAAGCTTGTGGCCATGTATGAGGAGGCATTGGTGGAACATCCTGATCTTGCTATCTGAACAGCTCTTCTTCCGAAGAACTTGGTGGCTTCGTACACCACGCCCTAACCCTCTACCATGCTGTTACGTCTCCTTCCCTTCTTGCTATAGTGTATCCCTATAGTTTCGCTCCTTGCGTACCAAGTATACTATTTTGTCTATCCTCTAAATATTGGCCCTTAATTTTGTCGTGCTGGTGTCTAGTGAAGGATCGTGCGCGTTGCCCACGAATATTGCTATGCTTCACGAAAGCCTCTTTCTTCGTACTCCGACTTAGTCCAAATGTGTATACTACTGCGTGGAAGCATGCGCCATATTCCCCACGTACGGAAAATAAGACGTGGAACAGCGTGTACCCCGCTCATGACACCAGGGATGGAACACCGTCCAGCAAGTCATTCCATGACTTCTCTTGATGTCACGCTGATAAAGTTGGCACATTGCCACCCGTTATGTCTATAAGCTCTCCACTACAAGTGTCGAATCAACACACCAATATCCGTGTACACTGCCATCTTAATGTTCACGTTCATTAAAAGCGTCCCAAGCATGTTGTCGTTCTCTACAAGTGCATTGGTTACGAGTTTGGCGTGACGCCACCGGCGCGTCGCGTCCAAAGCACGCGCCCCCAACCACCACCAGCATGAACAGGACGTCCGCAAAACTTCGATAGGATCGCCATAGCTGACTGAAGACATGCGCGACCCCGATGCAGTAGCTAGCAATGAGTTGAGCGATGCTGACAAAACACCGAGGCCTTTGGTTGTGGAAGTCACGCTTGTCCGCTAGCGCCGACGGAACTCCGTGCAAGAACGGAAGCGACCAAGGAGGTCCTTTCCCAGCGCAGACTAAACACTCCAGCGGGCTCCTCGCATGAAGATGATTTTCGTCCGTCCTCGCACTTCGGGACTGGGGCCGTCTAGGGTGTCTATGATGTTGCGGCATCGTCGGGACTACTATTTGGCTAATAACCTGCGATGTAAAGCAGCAGCACTACGACCATCAAGCACATTCGTCTCTCTTCTCTTCATACCATCTGCGATACTCTTGCAAAGATGAAGGAAGACGTTCTTAGACGCCCAGACAAGGAGAAGGATCTTCATTCCACCGAAGGGTCGCTCAACACAGGATCGGTCAATACAAGGGAGGAAAAAGAAGAACTAGCGCATATCCAGTTGACAAAAGGACGATTCGTACTCGTACTTGTAGGACTGGTCTTGGCTATTTTCCTTGTAAGCAACATCTCCACCCATGAATGCGAAAACCAGACACTGACCCATCGCTGCAGGCTTCCCTAGACTTTGTAAGTACGAGTACCGAGTCTCTCTTCTTCGACCCTTTCCAAGCAAGGCCTAACCGAAACCGTAGACCATCATCTCAACAGCCATCCCCAAGATCACCGATGAGTTCAAGAGTCTCCAAGACATCGGCTGGTATGGCTCAGCTTTCTTCATCACTACCGCTGCGACTACAGCGTTCTGGGGACGACTGTACACTTTCTTTCCGCTGAAGTGGACGTATCTCATCTCCATCTTCTTCTTCGAGTTGGGTAGTGTGATCTGCGGTAAGTCAACATTAGTTGATCTTGACATCAACACCATGCTAATGAGTTACGTCAATAGGTGCCGCACCCAGCTCCGTAGCTTTGATCATCGGTCGCGCGATATGCGGTGTTGGTGCAGCTGGACTGTTCTCTGGCTCGTACACCATCATTGCCGTTTTGGTACCCTCAGCAGATCGACCAAAGTACAGCGGGCTGATGGGTGCAGCATATGGTCTCGCCAGTGTTGTCGGCCCGTTGATCGGTGGTGCTTTCACCAGCCATGTCTCATGGCGCTGGTGGTACGTTACGCCCCATCGCAAAGGTCCCTTTCACTGCCTCGCTAACAGCTTCACAGCTTTTACATCAATCTTCCCGTAGGCGGTGTATCATGCCTCTTTATCCTCCTCTTCTTCGCCAACGAACCACCGAAGACTCGCCCTGATTGGCGTGGCATGCTTCGCACATTCGATATGCCCGGTTTGATCCTCATCATTGGTGCAATTGTTTGCTTCATCCTTGCGCTGCAATGGGGTGGTATCTCCAAGGCTTGGAACAGCGGTGCTGTGATCGGCAGTCTGGTGGCCTTCGTCGTATTGATGGCTTTGTTCGTGGTCGATCAGTGGTGGCTGGGTGAGAACGCCATGGTTCACAGCCTCATCATCCAAAGGAGAACTATCTGGGTCGGATCGATGTTTTCGTTCCTGATCAACTCCGCCTTCCTGGTCACGTTCTACTACCTGCCGATCTACTTCCGTAAGCTAGCTGAGTGACATGACATGCCGACCATGACTAATGATCGATAGAATCCGTGCAGGGCGTCTCAGCAGCGTCAAGTGGTGTTCGCACTGTTCCCTTCATCCTGGCAGTCAGTAAGTAGACCACCAACGCCTATTCTCTCCTTCAAATGCTTACAATGTTTGCAGCCATCTGCGTCGTGATTGTTGGTCAGATCATCACGAAGACCGGCTACGCGTATCCATGGATGATTGGAGGAGCGGCCATAACAACCATCGGTGCCGGCATGATCTACACGTTCGATGTCGATTCACCCGCCAAAGTCTGGATTGGCTACCAGATCCTCTGCGGTATCGGTATCGGAGTGAGCTTCCAGGTCCCTGTCATGCTCATCCAGGCGACCACGAAGGAAGTTGATGTGCCATTGGCTACTGCCACACTTCTTTGTAAGTTGCAATTCACATCACCTCTCTTCTCGCCGCAACACTAACTAGTGCTGCAGTCATCCAAACCCTCGGTGGTGCTTTTGGCGTCTCGTCCGCTCAGGCTGCCTTCCAGAACACGCTCCTAAAGCAGCTTCCCATCACAGCTCCAGGACTCGACCCTCAGATCGTCCTGGACGCCGGTGCTTCCGAGCTCAAGAGTCTAATCCCGGCGCAATTCCTTGAAGGAGTGCTTGAAGCCTACGTGGCCGGGTTCAGGGAGTGTCTCATCGTTGGTATTGCATTTGGTGGCGCCGCGTTCCTTGCTGCTTTTGGGTTCCGGTACACAAACATCAGGAGGACGGCCGCCTTGGAGGCGTGAGGGGAGAGAAAGCTGTCGACATGACCTGGAGGGAAGCGTTCTCTTATATATACGACGCCTCGAGAAGGTTGTCAGTATTGTACTAGATTGTAATTAGCATATCGACGGTTACATGTGCTGGCGCAAGGCCAAATGTACTCTAAAACCAAACATCCAACATGTAGACAGTTCCGGTATTGCCTTCCCTAATGCATATATATGTGAAGCCTCCTGTAGGGATCAATGCCACTAGAGACAAGGCTCTATACAGGCCCACCAAAAGCATTCCACTGGCCGAGAGCACCCCAATCATCAGCAGCATCACTGAAGTTTCCATTCCCATTCCCGTTCATCCCAAGTGACATTCCCATGCCGGGGAATTCCATGCCTCCTTCGAAACCATCCAATCCAGCGCCGGAGAAAATGTCCAGATCCAGGTCAAGCCCAAGCTGAGCACTCGCTGGGGTGATCTCTTCCGCCGGTCGGGTGTCCAAGACTGTGTCAATGACCTTGGTGAAAATCTTGCTCGCCTTGCGAAAGAGGTTGTAGTTGGCTTCGCCGTGTCTAGCTCCAGAGTTTTCCATGTGTGCGGCCGAATCAAGATGTGATATGAGCACGCTGAGCATGCGAATAATCTCCGCGCGAGATATTTCAGCGGGGAATTGCTGGCCTGTTCGATGTTGTTCGCGCAATGCTGTAGCAAGTACCGACGCTGCGGGTACACCAAACAGCAGTAGGGCATTGAGCATGTCGCGTTGAACATCGTATGATCGATCGCGTATTCTACCCAAGGTAAGTGTATTGCAAAGAAGATCAACAGAGACGCGCAGTAGGGCAGTGTTGAGCGTCAATGGGCTGTAATCGAGCAGCTTTTGAATCATGAACTCGTTGTACCAATGCGTGAGGTGTATGATGGACAGCATCAGACAGATTACCGTGGGAACGTCGTCTTCCCAACAGGTCTTCCAGTATCGCATATGTTTGGGTAGCGTCTCCCAAGAAGTGCGTACACGCTCGGATATATCTCTACAAACTTGTTAACAGAAGCCAAAGTAGGGTCATCGTGGCATACGCACAGTAACTGGGCTTCCGCGTTTGCGTCTATCTTGACGAGCGAGAATTCCAGGATTTCTTCGCGACTTCGGAGGGATATATGACGTAAACGCTAATGCACGTTAGCTGAGGGAAACAAACCAGCCTAGGTGGGAGACTTACGATCCAAGACGCTCTCAACCATCTGCCTTTGGTATTCCAACCGTCCTCGTCCAACGCTGCGATGGCAGATTCCAAGGTCGCCTGGTCACCGGTGACTTCGTTATCGGCCAGGTCGAGTGGAAGCTCGATATCAGTGTGTCTCTTGCTGATACGTATCGGACGGCCAAGGAAGGTGGATATCGACTTGTCCTGGTTGTATGCTGAACAGAAAACCCTACGGCGTGTTTCCGTCAACCATTTCGGAGCATGAGCGCACTTCTTCTCTTGATGTATACCTAGTGCATATATCTGTGTCGACAGTTCACCTATCCGTCGCCAACTGGGTGGACCCTGGTAGCCGCAGATCATGATTGTAAATAGGTAGTTTTCGTAATACATCCAGATCGTTACATCGTTCACTGTCGCAAGCATCGTCGTGAGAAAAAGACAGGTCGTACTCGCGCGAAGTAGCTCATCGGCAAAGTGTAACTTCATGTCCTTGTTGGCAGGATCACTGAAGATATCCGGAACGAAGCCGAACGTTAGCGATCGCCCGGCCGTCGCGAGGAGAAAGCCTATAGTTTCGAATCGTAGATTATCGCCGGAACACAAGATGTGAAAGTCGTGTGCTTCCATTGACTGTGATACTGTGAAAGGGCGTGCAGTCGTCTCGAGTACTTGGCTTATCAGCAGAGAACTGGGTTTCTTCCGCCGAAGATCATGCTTGTCAACAACAGCTTCCAAAGCATTCACGGCGTCGACCTGAACCTGGGCAGGTATCACACCTGCTTCATTTGTTGCATTGTACCATAGAACGAGCTCTTTGATGGCGTTGTAATGGCGAAGAGTGCTCAAAACGTCACAAGCCATCTGGTATCGCATGGACTTAGACAGGGTGTGCTGGTGTGTAAGTTCGCGATCTGATCGTTCTGATGCAACAGACTCCTCGCGTTCACGCATCTGACCGGGTTCTTCATCCTGAGGAAGAAGTACGGCGTACGATCCAGGCCCGAGGAACCCAGGGTGATATACATCAGCAGCTACGGCATCCGCAAGTTTGTCACCATGCGACGGAGACGCTGGGGCAAAAGCGGCAACAGCATCCGAAGCCTGCTTCGAGGGTCGTCTGTTCGAGTCAGAATACTGATGTGAATGTAGTTCCAAATGTATGCATACTTTCTTTTGGGCGGACGGGCTTCACCTGTTCCTGACTCATCGGCACTCTGACGCTGCCTGGTGAGAGGTGCTGGGTGGTAGAAGCAGCGGTCTTCAATACCACGTTGACGACATCGATCACATTTCGGATGGCCATGATCACACTTGGTTTTGTTCAGCCTGCATGGTTCGCAGGATGCTGGCTTGCCATTGCGCCTACTGCTGCCGGCGTCCCTGTTGGTTGGTCAGCAGATGGAAAGTTGTAGACTCCACGCGTAGATTACATGTCGATAACTGCACCGGTGTGTGCACGGAAGGATCCTCAATTCATGCGTGTGTGACATAATCTCGGAAACACGCGTCGGTGAGTTCGTCATGTCTGTGGATGGGCGCAGGCGAGATTGTGACGCGGGTTGCCTAAGCGCGAGGTGTCTTATCGATAAGCGACGCGTGCAGCCCGTGACGCCCTCTCCTCCTCCCGAGGTCCTTCACTGCCACCTCGCATCCATCGCTACGCGCCAGCACACATGCATGATCATGTCAGCCAAATCTCAGCCTCCGCCTGGTCAAAAGGGGCAATGCCATCCCGATGGACTACCCCCCTGCGATACACAGCCTCATGGACAGCCGAACAGCCTCTTCCGTATGCCCATTCAGCCATCTATTGCCTTCACTCTGCCAAAGTAATTGAGGCTTACGGGTTGCCCAATATACACAATGGGCATGCTTCTACGGCCTCCCCCACCTGATCCCCTCCGAATACGCCTCGCGCACGCCTTGGGCTTCCCGAATTACCCCAACGATGACACCGTCGAACCGTACATCAACTATCTTCTGAACCAGCACGATGCTCGTGGTACTCCAGAATACGAAGATCTCCTCATAACCATAGTACAATACTTCCATGGCCCTCAGCCCCTTGGGTCAATGAAGAGGAGCATTGAAGGGCTGCTACACTCGCTATCCAACCACCCGAACACACAATGGCACGAAGAGGACACGGTGGTGCGCGCTATTGGCAGCTGCACACTGTTACTGAGCTCGTTCACCGATCTACCAACGGTAGCCGGTAAGCTCCGAATGGTGACGGCAAGCTACAATCTGCGCATGCACGGAAGCTTGCTGGGGGGCCAGCCATACTTCGAGAGCTTGGCAGAATTGGTAGCGGGCAGCGGTTTGCTACCAGCGCCTGTTGCATTCGCCTCTGTGGTGACCATGGCAGATTTAGAGTCCTTGGAGTCGCTCTTTGTTGACGCCACCCACCTCAACGCGTACAGATTGACTGTGTTCGGAGCAGTGGAAATCACCTGGACTCATAACATCTCCCGGCACCTCCTGCTATCGAACCGCAACGGACGTCGCATACTTGAGATCTTCGCGCTACCATGCGCGTTAGATGCCGCTCCTCTTAGGATGGTCGGTGTTGGTAATGAGCTGGCGCAAGAGGTCATGGAGTCATACAGCTTGCTATTCAACGCCTGGCCCTCATTGGGTCCTCATGCTAAGCTTGGTTTATGGGTACGTGTTTCTCTACGAACTGCATATGGAGCATACACTGACTTGGTATACCTATATACAGCGGCGATGTTGCCCATGTCAACCATGTTCTGCTCGACGATACCGCAATCGCGCGATCAGCGATTACCAAGCCTTTAGTCGACTTCAACGTAGCAGCGAATACGACCCTAAGCTTCCTCACCTCATGAGCGCCATAAATCAGCAGCCGATCGCATGGACACCTGGCATATTCCCCCATCTCTGGTCTCGAATCATGATCCTAGATGAGCATCTGCAGCAGGCGAAGCCATGGAGCATTTGGGTCTTGTTCCGTAACCGTAACGATACCTTACAATTTTGGACGTTCTTGTGAGATACTCAACACTGTTGCACTTCATAAGACTGACAACATGCAGGTTCGCTACGGTCGTTGTCTTCATGACCGCAGTTCAGGTTTTGCTTGGCGTCGCACAAGTCGTGGGGTCGTTCCGCTGATGAACGACATCGGAAGCATTCAGCCTCGTATCACGGGCGGCTAGCCCCCACCCGCAGGTATTGCGAAGATCCATGGTGCGCGTTCGCTTATGCGCCTGCCTGACTGGTCGCGACGGAGAACACCATGATTGTGCAGCTGGCTTGTCTCCAGCCTTTGATGCTGTTGCGAAAACCGGATCTGACACGCTGTGTTCTAAAGGTACTTCTTAACATGGATGGAGCTTACTTGCTATGATGCCTGTCTCCCCGATCCTTTACCGCCTATAACTTGTGTCGTACCTTTCAGCCCCACGAGCAAGATGCGGCTATCGCCTGAAGCCCAAGGCTATCGCCAGCATATACTCAACTACGCTGCACGTTCATATACTCGCACGCTTTTCTTCGGCTATCATTACAGATTTCTCGCTGAGCTGCTCCGAGCTGATGAGGCACATCTACCCAAGCAATACAGTGACCTTGAAGCGTATCATCTTGGCCATTTGTCTGTGTATGGGCCGCCTTGTCATGGCTCTGAGCGGTATCAACGTCATAGTTACAAATATTCTCAGTTACGGGACCTAGTCGCAGCTCCGCCTCCGAGCAAAGGGCAAGGACAGGTCCTTTTCCTCAATGGACATCTTCCAGGGTCTTGGATATGTGAAGTGGGCGCGAAATACAATATCGCTCCCGAGTTCTTTCGGCAGCATATCCATCTTTGGCGCTCGACTGACGGGCCTGTTCTTCACGCAATCACGAGAAGCCCATACGCCACTTCGAACAAAGGGCTCCTACTGCGTCTTAACACCCAGGGAAACTTTGGCAAGAACAAGCTGCCTGTAGACTCATTCAGTAGCTTGATCTTGCAAGCGCGACGAAGGCTTCTACCTGACGACGTTGAGTGGATGCCCAGACGTTTGGCCGCAGCTCCTGGCTGTTCGTATGTAAGAGGCCATGCATATCTTAGCAACCTTCAATTTGTCATCGAGCAAGATGTGTCCATCACCGTTGAGTCGAATGGGGACGGCTGGACTGGTGAGCGACCTGTCAAACCTTGATTTCGTTTCGTCACCGCTTACCATGTGTATCAGCAATCTTGTGGACAGATGTCGGAAGCAGAAATCTCTCTCATAGCCGCACTTACCATCATTTCGTCGAGTATATGGCGGCCAAGACAGAAACAGGACGCCGAGACATCCGCTTATTACCTGTACATTTGCTGGGACAGGAGTCGACGATCAAACATTCATGGCCGCTGCCCGTCCCCGATCTCGATATCACGCAAGACACCGATGGCTCGCTCTTCCAGACAGCGTCCCATCTGCCATCAGAGCTCCACGTCATGCTTGATGATCACATAATTGCCGGGCAAGATCCGCTATACGCTCTCGCACCTATACTCTTGTTTGCAGCCGCCTCGGAGATTCAGCTACTATCGACACTTCAAAAATGGTACGACATAATCGCATCGACGAAATGGGATCGGAAGTACTCGACCGAGCATCTGGAACAACTCATAATGCACAAACACCTCCTGGATGATCACGCCAGCCGACACGAAGAGGTTCTACGATTCATCAGCTCGCCAAAGCTGGCTAAATGGGCGGTCAACCTCACACAAGACCAGAGCAATGTAGCTCAGGAAGCCAAAGACGCAGTAAAGGCTGACTACGAGTTCCTCCGATCGCGATGCCGCCAGCTGTCGCTACACTACCAGGAAGCGATATCGATCCTGGTCAGCGCCACTTCACTTGCAGAATCGCAGAAACAGATCACGCTTGCTACCCAAGTCACGAAGCTCACTATACTTGCGACGATCTTTCTTCCACTTTCGTACTGCACTTCGATATTCGGCATGAACTTTGTTGAGCTGGAGGAGTTGAATATATGGATCTGGGTAGTCGTCACGGTGTGCGTTGGACTTGCAACTCTTACTATTTATCAGTGGGATGAGAGGCAAATACTGTGGGATTTCTGGGCTACGGTGAAGGCTAAAATTCGACTGGCTAGCTGGCAACGCAATGCATCCACGGCAGTATAAGCATGAGAGTTACAACAAAAGACTGCTATCATACAATGTCGTACTGCTTCAGTTCGGCGGGAACTTCAAACGCTCCGTAAAACGCCACCCTTCCAAGTTGTAATCGGCGCTCAAGCGCGGGACCTTCCATCTCAAAATTTTGCACGTGCCCGCTGCGCTGCACGAAACTCTGGAAGCCCACAATGCCCGGGCCTTGGGTTCCATCTTCTCTCACCCCATCCGCATAGAGCGCAGTGCCACTATGACCATTCGGCGCATCGAAGTCAGGATACACACGGTACAAGATTGCGCGCGACACGAGCTCATTCCATGTTGAAGCTTTGTGTCCTTTCAGACTCTTTGAACCACCTGCTGCGGCTTTCTGGTTGAGGAAGATACCTTCGCCTACAACAAGAAGGTCCGATGGTCGACTGCATTTGATGCTCTTTCCTGATCTGTGGTTTTCAGTGTCGGCAAGGATCTTGAGTGCTGATGTCTGTTGGCGAAGACAAGCCCATGATTGCTGGTTCAACCACCCGAGGTTATCCACCGGGGAGGCAACATCCTTTACTCCGATTGGCAGCGTGGGTCGAATCAGTGTAACATCATGATTAAATCCATTGGGATAGGCACCAGCTTCCTTGTCAAAGGTCTTGTCGATGTTGCCAATCTAGCGATTTTTTTAGTACAAGAGCGCATCAATAAGAGAATACAGCTGTTGGAAAGTGCGATGATTTCGTGCAATCTACTGACCTTCGCATTTCCAGCCCAAATCTCTGTGTGTACGTTCCAATCGCTTTCTAATCTCTGAATGCGTTCCTCACAACTGCGGCCAAACATGGCATCCCGGTAAGACTTCGCCAAGATGGCCTCTGTTATGACATGCGTGGACATTAAGAGGAACTGCTCACTGTTCCTCGATATCTTCAGACCAATGCGCCCAGCGTACTTCTCTTTTCGGTGATTTGAATGTGGTCGAGCTTCTATGAGGTCGTTGAGTCTGATCGAGGGAGGTTGAGTGGTGTGTTGGACGGCAGAATGAGGGGGCTGATGGATTTCTAATAGAACAGGCTCGGGTGAGCCAGATGAAGGACCCGCTTGTTCCGTCTGCGTCGAGCCTGATGCCATGGTTGGCTCGAACGTAGACTCGATGTAGCACACCTTGAGACCCCCGTATTTGTGCGGAAGGTGCGATGACGCCCAGGCTGTATCAAAGTCTTCTGACACAACGATTTGCAGAAGTCCGTTGATCAGTATATAAAAGCCGAGGCTACCTTGGAAAGTGAGGAAAATGGCTCTCACCAGCTCTAAAGGTATCTGAGCTTGGCAGTCAATGGGCGCCGTAGGTTGAGGATCTGGCGGTGGTACCACACCACTAATAGGGGGCCATTGATACTCTACAGGTATTACAACTGGAGTAGACGCTATGCTGAGAGGAATGTCTCTTGGCTCATCTGGCAGGAGCGGTGTACAGGTCCAACAGCCACTTTGTTCTCCGCCACTTCCAGCCTGGATGCTGCTGTATTCAACATCCCATCTCCATGTATCCGGCAACTGGTCGCGAACTGATTTCCAGTCAGTTGAAAGCTCTTTTTTCAGGCTCATGTTCCGCAGTAGATGGCCTTCTTCCAGGGACGTTACGGCAGCGACATCTTCTGTAAGTAACAATGGTCTCCTTCCACCAAGACCGCACCCGCGTCCGAAGGCGGACCAAGGTTCAAGCGACGAAGGACTAACATAGCCAAACTGATTGTCAACGTCCTTGTCGGTCAAAACTCCGCTACCCTGACTAGGTGTACGGATTGACAAGTAGACGTTTTGTTTATGTAGGACTTCGCCTTGTTGTGGATGATTTGGCTCGACCGTGGAGCTTGGTGACACTGCTCGCCTCGTCGTCCGCTGTCTTTGAAGCTCTTCGTATTCGTAGGTTGGCAGATACGGGTGAGTAGAGGCAACGGGCATTGCCGTCGGGCCTTGAAGTTGTCCGTAATCAATCAATACAGGCGATCGTGGCCTTTTAGACGCACTGCCCTCAGGGTGACTAACAATTTCGGTTGTATTTTGCAACGGCTCGTCCGTTGAGGTAAGTTCAAGTGTGTGTGGCCACTGCTCGTCTCCTGAGGTTTGGTCGAGGTGAGCGCCCATGGAACCGAGGTCGGTCCCCGTCAGATTGTGCGCCGCATCGTATGTGTCCGATTTGTGTGTGTTCTGGGTTTCTATGACCTGTACCTGCGCTTGCCTCGTCTCGTGCACCTCTCGTCGGGCTATCTCACGTCTATAATGAGCTTCGCGGGCCTCTATTTTGATGAACTCAGCTTCTAGATCGTCAGAACTACTAGAGTCTTCGGATGCCATTGTGGCTAGGTCGCACAGTGGTGTGGTTTTGTTATGCAGTCCAACGAGTCGCAACTCCAGTCCTAGATCACACAGATAAGTTACTCAACGGTGTCAATGGGTGCAGCCTGGGACTGCTCTGGCGCCCATGTCAGGCCAGGCGCTGCCCAGGTGCCCAGGTGGCATCGGGGCGGGACCAATGGTCTTGCTTGCGCCACCACATCCGTGCTCACACCATGAACCTCAGATAGAATGCGCCGTATGCTTTCATGTCTCTTGATTCATGACACAAAATATCTTGATGATGTGTTGAGCATTGCGCTATCCGTTACCCGTGCGCTGTCCAACAATCAGATAGATGGCCAACGTCCACGGGTAGGCAGAACAGGCACTGACGTACCTAGGTACTGGCGCACGTCAGTCAGCATACTGGGATTGAATATCAGATGGTGTTCAGCAAAGCGCTTCTTCGTGACGAGGATGATGAGCCATAGTTTTGGGCCGCATTTGTTCCCACCGAGTCAAGGCATACCTCAAGCGCGGACTTGATGTGTATTATCATGTTTGGGCAGCTATGTGAGGTCTCATAGCGGCGGCATAGCCCATATATTGTATCACTTGCATCTTGGCATCTCAGTGCAATGCGAGGTAGAAAATATTGGGCGATCACGCAGGCTGCACAATCAGCTCAGAGATTGTCACGACCCATTAGCGCTTTACGGCACCAAAGCCGTTCGCTTCCCAGAATATAGGCTCCGTTACCATATATTTCGCGACTCTGTCCGACCTGTTCTATGCTGTCTCCGCATATTCGACATCGATCACTCGATCGAGTTTGGCGCTGGTCTCCTGCGTGGCCCAAACGTGGGTAGACTGAGGATGCGAGTGGAACAGCCCCAGCATACCACGTTGTGTGCGCGTCGAATCTGGCTACGTTGAATGCTTGGGCAGATGGTTTGAAACCCCATTTAACCAACTGTAGGCTCTCTGCTTAAGATGCCGAAGCGTATCGCGAGGGGCATCGGAGGACGGTTCGGGCGGTTTGACGGCCGTCAGGACGGGACGATGCGGTCTCTTGTATCGGCTCAGACTCGAATTTGGGCTTGCGCGTTGTTGGTAGTTTCTTCATCTGCTTTACGTGCAGTGCAAATGCAGTATGTCCTTTTGAAGAGTGATCTACTGCTATTAGCTCAGAACGCGTAGAGGCTCCAAGTAGCTGTTTCGCAGGAAGCTTGCTCACCACAACGCGTCAATCTGCACAACTTCGCGGCCTGTTTTCATGGCAGAAGTAGAACAAGAGCATCTCCGGGTTCTCAGTGACATTGATATGCTCTCCGTCGGAAGATGAAGGCGCGTTCGCGGTCCGATCGTCCTAGGGGTAGTGATGCTCGGGCAGGGACTCCCATTCAGCCGTATGCGTTTTCTCGGGACATCTTCGCTTCTGCTTGATTTGATGCTATTTCTGCGTCTGAAGGCCTCTCATAGCACAGGATTTCGAGAGCGCAGTTATGGAATGAGCCATCGTTAGAACCCTAGGTAGCAATGGCGATGACATCTTGGTGGGGCGGCCTGTGCGCCTTGAGCTACGCCCGCCTAAGGCCAATCCCACGACACCTACACTGGCACGTGACTGGGCATGCCTAGAATGCGAGAATGTCTTGCGATCGACAGCGTTCGTGGTGGAGAACGTAAACTGCGCCGCAACGCTGCAGATGACGATCGCGACGATAGCTGTCTGTGCACTCGCACTGCTTGTGCGAAGTAAACACTCGTTGCGCGACCAACACCACTATTACCACGATCATGAGATCTTGGGTTCCTAAATTAGGTGTCTATCACACATTATACAGGCTAAAGGCGGCCTTGAGCCCTAGTTTGTGTTACACTTTATAGAGATTAAATTTTGTTTCTGTCTAAATTAATTACTAATAAATACTACTAAAGCCTAACTAATTATTCTAATAAGTTAACTAGCCTAATAACGCTAATTCTATAATATATAGCCTATCTATTTCTATAATAGCAATAGTAATAGTAGAGCTATAATTACTATCTTTAATAGCTATTTATAATACTCTTAGACTTATATAATAACTTTTACTAGTATTTCTATTTACGCTAGACTATACGCGTGCGCTAGAAGTTTCTTTATCTATAACTTACTCTTCTTATTCTAGATACAAGCTAGAAAGTTATTATATATAGAATTTATCTTTTTATTCTTCTTCTTCTATATATTCTATATAGTAGTAATTTACTCTTCTAATATCTTTTTCTTCTCTTTACTTAGCCTAGTCTTCTTCTCTAAGTATATCTCTAAGCTTCTAGTAGTAATAGTAATAATATTAAAAGACTTAATAAATACTCTTTTTATACTATTCTTAATATCTTACTTTAGCTTTTTAAGATTGTAAAAAAGCTCTTTTTTAAAGAATTAATTAACTTAGACGTAGCTTAGATTTATATAATAGTTAAAGATCTTATTTAAGAGAGTAAGTAGTATAGTAGATATAGAAGTTTAATAATGCTAGTATTCTAGAGTATTAGTGTACTAGTGTATAAGGTATTCTTATATAAATTAGATCTTTAATAACTTAAAAATTACTTAAAAAGAAAATGTCTTTTAATAAGAGCTTTTTAGAATTATCTTATTATCTACTATTTTATTTTTTACTTATACTTTTTAGTATTAGACTTTTATATAATACTTTAGATAATAAAATCTCTCTATAATAAAACTCTTTTCTACTAAACTAACGTTTATATACTTTCTTACTTATACTAACTACTTTATATTCTTATAGTAATATATCTTTATACTTTTTAATACTTATATAAATAGTAAAGCTTATAGAGATATATTCTACTATATAGTATAAGAAGTAGTTAGTATACGTTAATATAATATATATAGTAATAATAACTATAATAAATATAATAAGTATAGACTTAGCTCTTTTTTTTAAGTTAGCTAGAACTATAATAGTAGTTATATTTAGGCTAACTACGTTCTTACTACTAAGTAATATTAGATAAGATAATTATGTAGATAAGGTAACTACTTAGAAATACTAGAAAATATTAATTTAACTAATATCTAGAATAGTAATATTAGAAGTATAATAAAATGCTAGACTAGCTAGGTTAATATAATACTATAATAGTATATTTAGAATATATACTAGTGCAGAACTATAGTTTAATAGAACTAATAACCTAATAGAGTATTATAGTAAGTAAAACGCTAAGCTATACTAACTATAAAGGTATTTAGAAAGTATTCTCTACTATTAAGTAGAAAGTATTAAATACTATTAAGTATTTAGAACTTATCTTTTAATTATATAATCTTTATAGTATAATATCTATTTAGTATTTAAGCTATTAAGTAAAGAAGTATTAGCTTCTTTATAAGTTATTTAGAACTATAATAACTACTAAAGAAATAGAAGAAGTGTAAGGCGTTAAAAGATCTAGCAATTCTCTCTTCTAAGTATTTATCTACTACTTTTTTAACTACTTTAATACTAAAGATACTAACTTTTAGAACTATCTCTAAAGTAAAGAGTATATTATTATTTATAATAGTAACTAATAGTGTAGTCTTTATAGTTTACTCTAGATACGCTACTTTAGTCTTTACTAGTAATAATATTACTAAGTTTCTTAAAGACTATAACTAATAAGCTAATAATAGAGGTCTTTCTAATAAGATAAAAGTCTCTATTCTTCTAGATTATATTAGTAATAAGAATTACTCTATTACTTATATTATTAAGCTCTTTACTAGTTATAAGAAAAAGAACTAGACTAAGCTTAAGGTAAACATAAAAAAATACTAAGTAGATAAGAATACTACTATTAAGATAAGTAAGTACTTATACTTATAAGCTTTTATCTATAAGTATATAAATAATCTATTTAGTCTTACTAAGTATTATACTTACTTCTATATAATAGTAGAAGCTTATATTACTAATAAGTAAGTTCTATAAAAGAAACTTAGCTTTCTCTTCTATTATAGACTTCTAAAGTATAATAAGTAGATAGTTACTTTTATAATACTTAATACTTCTAAAAGTAATAATTAAGCTAAGTACTATATAGATAAGATCTATACCTTTCTTAAGAAATACTATAAAAAGAATAACACTATTAATAATATATATACTTAGAAACGTAGTAGTATAGATACTAAGATAAGATATATTATACTTACTAATAAGCGTACTACTTTTAACCTAGAGAAAGTAAAAAGTATTATTACTAATCTTAAGAAGTAATAAAAGAAGTAAGAATCTCTACTTTCTTTTAATATAAATTCTAAGATAGAATAACTTATAACTTTACTAAATAGACTAAGGCTTAATATAGATATAGTTTATTTCTTTATAGCCTACTTATTAGTTACTCTAATCTATAAAAACTTTTATAATACTCTATACTTTATAGACTATATAACTAAGAAAAAGCTCTCTATTAAGAGAAATAATAGTTCTTTTATTACTAAAGTACTTAGAAATATAGCTTCTAAGAGAGAAACTATTTAGTATAAAAAAGCTAAGTATACTAATACTTACTATATATATAATAAAAAGAGTTATAAAATTACTAATTATAAACTTTATAATAACTTTTATAACTTAAGTTAAATTAGTTACTATTAGAATAGTAAGCGTAAGTAAGAAATATACTATTTTAGCCTACTCTATAATTACTTTAACTAAATCTCTAGTACTTCTTTATTAACTTATAAGCTTAAATAGCTTAAGTCTAAGATTAAAAAGTATTTTAATATTACTAATAATATAATAGAATAGCCTACGTTTAGTGTTCTTTCTAAGAAGTTTAAGAGAGACTCTTACTCTAAGTATATTTTTAAGTAATTAAACTTAGCTAATATAATTACTTATTTAGACTATTACGTTAGTTATAAGAATACTTAATAGTAGTTTATTTAGTTTTAGAAAGGTGTTAAGTACTCTAAGAAGGCCTAGCTACTTAATAATATTAATTCTAAT